CGGCAGCAGTGGAGGCGGAGGCAGTGGAGGCGGAGGCAGCGGAGGCGGAGCAGGCAGTGGAGGCGGAGCAGGCAGTGGAGGCGGCGAGGGCGTCTACTTCGAGGTCGAGATTCGGCCCGAGGGGTGGGTGCGGAAGGGCGGGAGGGGGCAGGGGCGAGGCCACGTCACCGGAAGGGGGCGGGGCAGGCCCGGACGGGGGACGATGAAACCGCGCCCCCTGCCTACCTTCGGTGTCCAGCTGTGAATAGGAGCTGTGAGTAGGGGAGCTGTGAATAGGAGCCCCCTGCCCACCTTCGGCCAGCGCAAGGTGGCGAGGCCGACGGTGCGCACAGGGTTGGCAATCCCCTCCTCCTCCACCACCACCTCCTCCTCCGCTGCCGCCGCTGCCGCCCCTTCGCTCGCCGCCGCTCTGGCGCAGCTGCCGCCGCCTCCGCCAGAGTCGTCGCGCCTCTGGCTTGACGCACCTTAGATGCGAGGAGGTGGTGGAATGGTCTCCGGACGAGCAGGAGAAGTCAAGTAGTAAACCGGTTGGTAGCGCGACCTGTGGAGGAGCACACGGGTCTATAGCGCTTGACACGAGAGAGAGGAGCGCGTTCGGCTCTATTCCGAGGCTGCACAGACTTGCTGCAAGCATTCTCGCACCCCGTCTACTCTCACGCGAGATGCTCCGACCACACAGATAGCTCGACACACACACTGCGTGCTCACGCGCCCTGGCTGTGGGGCCCCGGGGGCAGGGTGGCTCAACTCGCGCTACTGATGAACTAAGTGCCACCTTCGTAGCTGCTTTGCGTAGAGCCAGGCTCGGCAGACGCGCCGCTAGTCCCTCACGTCATCAGGCTCGACACGCGCCGCTGCTCCTCCTCCGACGCCGCGCTCATCCGAGCTGCCTTCGACCTGCCGCAGCCCTGTGCACCTTCCTTCCCTACGCCGCCTCCATCTGCATCTACCTGGCAGTCATCAGCGACTCGCGTGATTGAGCGAAATAGGCACCCACGGGCCCCTTCTCATGAATGATCAAATAGGGGCCTCTGCGTGCTCTCAATCATGAACACTATCTAGATAGAGGCACACGGGCCCCTTCTCATGGACGGAGAGTGGTTGGATATCGGCCTAGTGGCCTATTCTTGGCCATCCAGATCATGAGCTAGGCACGGTCTCTGATCGCATCACAATGATGAGTGGCTGAATATGGGCCTTAAACTTAGCTGGTCGTCGTTAACCAGGCACTGCTGACCCCTCTCCTAGTTGTACGTTTTATTTATTTAGGCACTGACCCCTTCTCGCTGTGGCATCCGGCCCGCTTCGAAGACTTCTTCGAGCCGCGTGACGCGGCGGCAGCTCGGTTCCCCTCCTTGCATGCCCTCCCTCGCCCCTCACGCTCTGGAGTGCGCACGTCGCAGGAGTCACTTGGGTGTGCGGAGCCGCCAGCAGGGGCTTGGGGGCAGAGGGGCTCGCTCGGCGTGCCGGAGGTCTCCGGCGGGGCCAACCTCCCTCCGCACACGTGTGCTGATGAATCGAACTCGCTTTCAGGCGGTGTGCCGGACAAATCGAGACGGCCTCACCTCAGCATCTGTGTTGATGGATGAACTTAATTTGATATAGGCGGCGCCGGAATCCCCGACGGCCGACCCGTCACGCTGCTGGTCTGCCGAGATAGCAATCCTGTCACGCGCTCACACCAGACCTGTCACGCCGAGAGCAATCCTGTCACGCTAGGTCTGCCACCTCCTCGTGATCGAGAATCCAGGCGGCCGGCCGCCCCTTGCTAGCACCCCATCCCTCTGGGCACCCATGTACCTTTACATGTCCGTCCCGCTTAAGAGCCTGTGTGGCGTCTGTCATCTAGACATGGACACGGGAGCGCGGCTTCCTTTCGAGCAGTCGCTTACCGCTACTTTTAGGCTGGCGGCCCTGGGCTCGCTCGGCCGGGCTCGGTCGCGGCAGCAAGCAGCGGCGGCGGGGCAAGCTCGAGAGCAAGCGCACGCTCGACATGCAGCCGCCCGGCGCCCTCTGACAATGCGTCTCGGAGCAGCTCCCCCCCCCCCCCTCCAGTTGCTAATGTGCTGCTACCTTGTGACGAGACAGGCGTCCTCTCGGAGCAGCTCGCCGTCGTCGTCGTCGGCGACGCCCTCTCCCCGTCTCCGCCGTCACTCTCCACACCGACAGGGAGGCACAGGTCATGTGGAGCGGTCCCAATGATTAGGCGACGACCTCCTAGTCTCCGCCGTCCGCTCCGCGCGCAGCGGGAGCCGGTCCGACAAAAGACTGTCGGGCAGCCCCATCAATGATCGAACCTAGTCAGGCGAGCCAACCATCGACTCAGGCTCGCCGACGTGCCAACTTGTCCTCTTACCATCTTGTCTCAGAGTTGACCGTGCCCATTCCTTCACTCTCAGGCTCGACGAGCTGCTGTCCGAGCAGCGCCGCTGCTTGCAGGAGCCGCCACGCACACTAGGGGCCTTAGACGCTCTTCATGCGCGGGGGAGGGAGAGGGGGGGGGGAAGGCTCCTGTCTGTAGACGTTGGCGGCGCGAGGGCTGCCTGGCCCTTCGTTGCCCCACCAACTAGTACGGTGTGGACAAGTTCACCGACCGTATCTCCACCTTCCTTGTGTGCAGGAGCGGCTGCAGGAGCGGCGGCACTCCACCGGCGCCCGCTTCCTCTGCTGGAGCCTTGCCGACGCCGTCGTCCGTGAGCTGGGCTACGCGCAGGCACTATCTTAGACTTGTCCGAGCCCTAGAGAGCCCGCGAGATCATGACCCGAGATTGCTCGAGATCGCCAGCTGGGCTACGCGCAGGCACTATCTTAGACTTGTCCGAGCCCTAGAGAGCCCGCGAGATCATGACCCGAGATTGCTCGAGATCGCCAGCTGGGCTACGCGCAGGCACTATCTTGACTTGTCCGAGCCCTAGAGAGCCCGCGAGATCATGACCCGAGATTGCTCGAGATCGCCAGCTGGGCTACGCGCAGGCACTATCTTAGACTTGTCCGAGCCCTAGAGAGCCCGCGAGATCATGACCCGAGATTGCTCGAGATCGCCAGCTGGGCTACGCGCAGGCACGATCTTAGACTTGTCCGAGCCCTAGAGAGCCCGCGAGATCATGACCCGAGATTGCTCGAGATCGCCAGCTGGGCTACGCGCAGGCACTATCTTGACTTGTCCGAGCCCTAGAGAGCCCGCGAGATCATGACCCGAGATTGCTCGAGATCGCCAGCTGGGCTACGCGCAGGCACGATCTTAGACTTGTCCGAGCCCTAGAGAGCCCGCGAGATCATGACCCGAGATTGCTCGAGATCGCCAGCTGGGCTACGCGCAGGCACCCTACCTTAGAGTGTCCGAGAGCCCCGAGATGGCCCGCGAGATGAAATCTCGGGTAATCTCGTTCGCAGGTCGTCCTCAACGAGTGGGTCGAGGAGCTCGACGATGCAATCACGACACGCCCGATCAGCGACCACGCGCAGCACCTGCACGACCTCCGCACTGTGCTCGAGAAGGCGCGCGCTAGACTGCGACTAGTCCTCCCATGCTAGATGTCTGCGCGCGCCTCGGCGAGATCTCGGCTGCACCTCGGCTGCATCTCGGCTGCATCTGTGCTGCATCTGTGCTGCGTCTCTGCTGCGTCTCAGCCGTATCTCGACCAGCGCACGATGCTGTGGCGTCAGGTGGTTCGCGCGACGGCGCCGCTGGTGCAGGCGCTCGAGGACGGGGCTGGCCAGCCAGCAGCGACGCCGGCGCACTTGTGGCAGTCGCTGAGGGGCGAGCTGGCGGCGGTCAACTCGGAGATCCTCTCGCTGCAGACGAGGGTGGCGTCGCTGCAGCAGTACTTTCGGCAGGCGGTCGAGAGCGCCACTCGCGTGTGGTGCTCTCGGGTCATCTCGGGTCATCTCGGGTCATCTCGGGTCATCTCGGCAGGCGGTGGAGGAGCGGCACTCGCGCGTGCTGTACGTGCTCACGCTGGTGACGGCGCTCTTCGTGCCGCTCCAGTTCCTGACGGGCGTGTGGGGCATGAACTTCCGGGTCATGCCCGAGCTCGAGTGGGAGTACGGATACGAGATGTTCTGGTGCTGCGAGCTGCTCATCGCCCTGCTCGTCTTCATCTTCTTCCGCGCCTCGGGCCTCCTACAGCTGAGCTGACGCACCGCTTTTCCTTGGACTTGGAGCAGTTGGCAGCCTCACACCCAGGGCCGGGGGCTAAGAAGCGCGCACCCAGTTGGCCAGATGATTGGTATCGGGCTACGGGCAAGAGAGCCCTGACCCCTAGGGCTAGTTCCATTTCACTCTCTGACACGCTAATCTTGAAAACGTCCAACGGAGCTCCGTGTTGCTCCTCCAGCGCCCCCTCCCCCGCGCTTCCTGGATCCTGCGGCCCTAGCCGATGATACTAGCATGGGAGGTCATCTGGATACCGCGAGAGCGACCCAACTCGTCGACATCGTCCGATGATGGTGCCTCAAAGTCAGTCTTCGGAGGCTATCGTGGGGTCGAGCCGGCAGTAGCCGCGACATGTGGTTCCACCCCACCCCTCGCAGGCTTTGCCTCTAACCGCCACCGTTCCCAGGCTGCCTAATGGGATGGAAAGGAAGGCTCGGCGAGCGTATAGAAGCGTGCTCGACCTCGTCGTGTCGTGGCAGCCTGCACGGCAGCGCTGGCAGGCGCCGGCGATGAGCGAACCCCTGGTCATGTGGTCAACTCACCCTCCACACCCCGCGTACTGGCGCGCGGCGCGCCGCGGGCGGATGACTAGGGGAGGAAAAGCGGAGATCCTAGCTCGTTGGGAATACGGCTTTAGGGGAGAAGTGTCAGTGTGATGGGAGGGCGTACGCCGGCGTTTTTGCCTTTGAAAACTGAACAGTTTTTTTTAACTTCGTAACTCCTTGGGAGCACGAGCCGCGTGCTTTCGCGCGCGTTCTACTCCGCGCCTCGCTCGCCCTCAAAAGAGCTACAGAAGCCGCTCCGCGTCTTTCTCGCCCTCGTAGTGCTCCACGGAGCCGTCGGCAAACTCCGCGCGCACCTTCCGCTTAGAGAGAGAGCTTCTCTTCTGCCTTAGCCACGTGGTCTTCGTCACTTCGTCACTTCACAGAAACGGTCTTCGCTCCTCGGGCGGACCAGATATCCAGATTTGAGAGAGAGAGAGAGAGAGATTTTTAGAACCTTCTCTCAGATTTGCTGAAGTGAGTGGGGCATCCCCGGGGGAGGGGTCAAGAGAGAGAGAGTGAGAGAGAGAGAGAGAGAGAGAGAGAGAGAGAGAGAGAGAGAGAGAGAGAGAGAGAGAGAGAGAGAGAGAGAGAGAGAGAGAGAGAGAGAGAGAGAGAGAGAGAGAGAGATTTAGCAATACCAAACAACTCCAACACTCGCGCGCGAGACGTGCAGACAGGGTTGCCAGGTGAGAGCGAATGGCGCGGTTCACGCCTCGCACAACAGAGAGAGAGATGCGCTCTGCATGGTGGTTTTGGGGGGGTCAAATCTGCTGAAGTCGCGCCGTGCGATTCTCGGCGAGAGATGGGCTCTCGCCTAACATATGGTGACATCGAGTGACTTCGCGTTCGTAGTGTGAACCGCGTCGTATGCGACGCTCTTGTTTCTTTCACCCTTGGTTTCTTGCCATCGTCTCTGGGCAGGGGCCCACCCCGCACACAGCGGGTCCCCAAGCGTGAACTTGTCTCTTATCATGAACGTGAACGGGGTTGTGCGTTTATGTGAACGTGAACGGCGGTCAACCGGGGTTGTGTTTTTGTGTGAACGGCGGCGGCCTAGGTGCTGACCAATCCTCGCTACCCAACGCGGCCAAAGGATATCCACCTCGAGAACCTCGAGGAGGAGCGTCAGCGCCCCGCAAAATGGATTGCAGCCGCCAGACCTCCGTCCGTCCGCCGCCGGCCTTGATGGAGTACAGCCGCTGCAGGCCGCACCCCATTCCAGGCGAGCGCTGGACGCTAGCGGCATACCGGCGACAGATGGCCCACCTGGTGAAAACGGAGCAGCAGGCCGCGCTCTTGAGCGTCCGTGGCAACAGGCTCAGTGCGTGCGTGTGCGCGGGACCCAGCGGTCCTGCTGCACTCACGTCGAAGTTGGCCTTGGAGTGGCTCGTCAGCTTATGGCGGGAGTCCCTTCAGCCCGGCGCGGACTTTAGCGTGGTCGCCGCCCTGCACGACTTTGTGACGCCGCAACTTCAAGCGGCCGCGCCCGTCTATAGCATCGAGCAAGGGCCCAACCGCGTCTCGCTGCCTACTTTCAACACGTGGCGCGGCGGCTGGACGCACGAGACTCCGCGCAACTTGACGGCGCCCGGGGCCACACCGCGCGAGTGGAGCACGCGCAAGTCGCAGCTTGTGTGGCGGGGCAGTGTCGCATCATACGGCGGCGTGCGGTCGCGTCTGCTGACTATGGCGCAGCGCCACCCTCGGTGGATCGATGCGCGTGGCACGGACGGTGCCGGCGGCAGCGCGGCGCGGCTGACGCTGGCGCAGCAGGAGTCGTTCAAGTACACGATTAATATGCCGGGGCTGATCAACGCGTATGCCTGGCGCACGCCCGAGCTCTTCCTGCGTGGCTTCCTCGTCTTCCACGTGCGCGACGGGGACCTCCCCTTCTGGCGGCGCTACCCCGGTGCTTCGGCCGAGCCCGAGTTCATGTGCCAACTGCGCCCCTTCATCCACTACATCCCGCTC